GGGGCGGGGAGCAACTGGGGGGAAGGGTGTGAGGGGGTGTGGAAACCATGCTCTCCATCTCTGAGCGCCTCCAGGACAGGGCTCTTTGGGGGTCTGAGTCCTGGGGCCCAGCACGGAGTGGGCCTCAAGAGACGTCTGCGAATTGGCAGCCGGCGTCGGGGGGGTGGCACGAACAGGCCCAGAGGACCCAGAAGCAGTGGCTGGAGCGAGAAAGTGCTAGTGGCATCTGGATAGTTGCTTCAGTGGAGACGGTGGCCAGGAGTGGGGGGCTGGGGAAGTGGCCCCAGGACCAAGGGCAAAAGCGACCGCACTGTTAGCACGGGGCAGCTTTGGCAAGCACCCCGCTATGGAGCTGGCAGAGGATCCGAGCAGGGGGACACTCCAGGGCCAGGTGTGGGGCTGCCCCAGGTGTGAGGACAGCCCGGACAGGCACCTGGGGCCACGGAGGGAGCCCGGGGGGGGGGACTGTGTGGAGGGCACAGATAGTGTCCGCTCTCCCGGGAGCGCTGGAACATTCTGGAGGTGTGTGCAGTCCTCTTCCCACCCCTGCAGGGCCCCAGGCTCCCCAAACCCGGTCCCTGCCCGAAGGTGCTCTGCCCGGCCTGGGGGCACCCCTGCCCCAGTGGCCCGCAGAGCTCAGCGCCCGGCCCAGCAGTCACTGCCTCGAGGACCGACTCAGGGCAACGTCACAGGGGCAGAGAAACGAAACGCCCAACCTGCCCGGACTGCTCGTGCACGTGAACACTTCCCAAAGGTGCCCGGAGCCCGCTGCCCGGCCGAGCCCGGGGGGAACGGCTGGGGTCGCCTTGCAGCCGCTCGGTGGTCCCCAGTGAGGGGCCTCGGCAGACTCTGAACACCTGCCCACCGGCTTGTCTGTGCGGGGAAGGGCGCTCAGACAGACGCCACGGTGGTCGAGGCTCGGCCCCGGGAGGAGCCGACGACAGCGCGGGGGAGAGGCTGTGCCCCCGGGCGGGCTGACCGCCCACCGGGAGCGGCGGGGTCAGGTGCGCAGCACCGCGGGGCCTGGCGACCCCCGACAGGCCAAAGGGCGAGCGGACGACCCCCACCCCACCCCCGGTGCCCGGGCGCCGGCACCCACTCACCGCCGCGCTCGCTCCGCATGCCGATGGTGCCTCCGGTGTAGATGGCCAGGAGCCGCCGCTCGGGCCCCGCCGCGCGCGCCATGCCCGTGAGCCAGGGGACCGGGGACCGGGGGGGACTGTCGGCAG